ACATGAGATGAATAGGATAAGAAGTGTACACACATACGCTCATATAAAATTAGTCAGGGTTAACAAGTGAATAATTAACAAGGTCCAAACATGACTCAAGATAGATAGGTAAATCGGCTTGTCCTGAAGCTATAATATGGTATATGGGCTAAACATATCAATCGACACTACAAGCTACTATCTCACAACAGACCTGGTTCATCTCCACTGGTCAGTGCTTCTCACTAGAACTCCAGGAAATACCTCCTGGTGCCAGTCACTAGTAAGCATATGTTGATTAGTATCAGAAGGGGTTTTTGTGGATATCATAGTAATTTTAATAGTAGAGGTTGATTAAAATTACTATAATATCCACAAAACCCCCTTCTGACATTAATCAACATACGGCCGTCCAGTCCTTTCGGGGTTTCCATGGTGGTCTAGCTTCATTTGACTCATGATCTCAACTATTAAAATTACCATAATATCCACAAAACCCCTTTCTTGTATAAGTGTTCTTTTTCATTTCATGACATGATGAGGTCTGATTTGCTTGTATATAAACTACGTATGTCTGAAATACATGATCCATACAACGGAGGTTGATATTGGTGTTCTGGATTGGGTTGGCTGAGTTAGGCGAAAAGCTACTATCATGGACGACCGATCAGAATCTCACAGTTGATTCTAGGGTGCTCGTACTGGTTAATGCGTCATTGATTTGGTATAGTATCAAGGTCATATAAGTCGGTGTTCTAATTGATAGAATTATTCACGTGATATAATTAACAGGACATAGAACACAACGTTTCCAAGGTTTCTTATTTTCATTTCTTCACCTATTCTTAAAGTCATTTAGGTAGTGAAAGAAGGAAATAAGATCAGACTGTCAATAAAGACAAAAATATTTGGACATACTACTGTAACCTTATTAATTAAAAAAAATATTACATATGTAATATTTTTCAAAGTAATGCCAACCTCTTTAGACAAATATTGGTTTACTCAGATATATGTGTCTGTACACACATAAAAATCAACTAAAGCAGTAATAAAGTGAGTTCTGACCTTTGGCCTATTCAAATAATCCATTTGTCCCTCTGAACTTATTTCTATTTCAGTGCTTGCAATAACTCATTATTATGTTGATTGGTCATACGATTTTTGCATATTCGAGCTGATCACTAGTACAATATTTCATTTATGCAATATCAACCAAAATTTAGGAACTAACTAATTATTTGCCGACATCCTGCTGAGAATTCGCTTGATAATCATTGTTGGTATGGGAACAAAATGGTTGTATGAAGGAACCAAGTCCTCCTGATTACTGATTGTGAAAATAAAAATAAAATCACAAGTTGGGATTCAGCCTGAGGGTATGAGAGGTAGACTATTTATATATGACAAAATAACCCACCAGACTGGCTTATGTTTATTCAATCAGCATGTATATACTCAAAGTTTGAAAATATTTAGCAAATGTGTACAGATTAGAAATTATAAATCATTATAACTTTTCTAACCTTGACCACTAAATTGTTTGGGTGAAATTAAATTCAAAAATGAGTATATTTTGATGTCTTAACGAAGTTTTGGCATCATTCCATATAGAAATAGACGTGGTGTCCATTGTTTTTCTACTTATCCTACATCACTTGTAACTCCCCCTAAACCCGTTAAAACTTTACTGTCCGTCCCAAGCCCGGATATAGGATGAGGGTCAGAAAACTCATTCCATGGAAATGAACTTTGTTAAGAAAACGATAGCCAGATAAATTATTTTTAATATTACTTTTACCAAATAAATAATAGACTATATTTAGAATAAAGGTAACAGATTCGACTATCACATAATTGCATATGGAATATGTATTAACATTTTATACGGTTTAATGCCTAACTGAATATCTCAGAGTCAAACGGTGGTTTGAGGAACAGACGAGCACAAGATTTTTGTAGGAATGGAAATTACTATCATGATTTATATGATCCCTACAAAAATAGATCAATAATATTTAAATTATATTAAAACTTCAAACGACCGATATTCAACGGATGAGAACAGGATTTTAGAGAGTAACCGATTATAGTCTCTTGAGATAATTTTTATGTTTCATTGAATCTCCAAGCACTTATCAACACAAGTACATTAGACAGAACTCGCGTATTCATTTGAATGTTTCAAACGGTCTGTAGTTTAGGGTACCTTAAATATTCGTAAATTAATCACTGTCTGACAGCTGAATGAATTATTCAGTGTTAAATTATGAAACTCTCAAATTAATCAACAAACTACTGACCTCAAAATACCTTTGTCATTTTAGAGTTGACAGTTTATCAGTTTACTTGGTGTTCTTTGCCCCCAAATACCCTGGTACGACCAAGAGTGGAAAAAGTCCGCTCTCCCTCTCGAAGTGTAAGCCACTTCCTCAGAGAATAAATAACTAAATATTCTCTGAGGAAGTGGCTTACACTGAGTCACGAAACGTCAGAAAATCTAATTTTTCTACTCATTAGGATATTACAAATATCTTATTTATTTACATCAGTATAATAGATTACAAAGTAAAAAGACGTTTGTAATATACCTGAAGGCAGGTTTCATGAAGACATCAGTTTATTGTAGCTTAACTAAACACACGGCGTTCGCAAGCTGGTTTATGTAGGGATTAAGATCAATATTCACTAAAGAAGATTCAGGACCAACGAATTCTCCAATAAGGCAAAGGTTTGTGTTGTGAACAAGTTAGAGTGTAGAATAGTCCAGAATCCACCTGGTGTCCATGGTCTGTCGTGATAATTGAAAGACAGTCGAAGTCTGAGACTCATCGTTTGATGAAGGAGTGGGCCACTCTTTCAGTAATAATACCCGTGAAAGGCACTGATTCCTGTCGTCGTGTGAGATGATCCACACATGTTGAGAGACAGGAATATTCATCTGAGTGTCGGGAGCTGTAAAGAAACCTACAAGTTCGACCTCTAAAAGTCGGATGATGAATGACTTGTTGCCAAAAGAATGTCTATGATAGTGTTAAATAAAAACGAGAAGTAAATTATCAGACCTATTTACACAGAAAGATTCTGGAATCAGCAACTTCATTCGGCAACAGGTAATCAGATTTCACTTTCGTCACATATTTTTTTCTAAACTCCTGCTTGACCTTCCTAGGTTTATTGCCAATTCCTAACACAGATGAAAGAGGAGGGTTGGGCTTGCAATTAGCATCCTTAAGCCTTGTTGAAATCAAACACTAACCCAGAAAAATCATTGTAGCCATTTAAAGCATCATTTTTATTAACTTTCATCTTAAACCAATGAATTTATCACAGTTCACACAATGGAAGATGGTCGCGTAATGTCGTGGATTGATTGAGGTTAGATATTGACATCGTTGGATCCCAGTTCAGTGGTCTAGTGGTTAAGTGTTTGCGCACAATGTCGTGGATGTGCACTCCAGAGTAGTATCTACTAGGATGAAACGGCTATCCAGTGCTTTCGGCTTTTCAATAGTGATCTAATTTAGCTCAGTTCAGGATTTCAATGAGTTTGTTGTATGAAGTCCATTCTCTACGATATTTATACCGTTATTTATCAAATTCCAGGTTCCATATATAATAGACCAACTTTACACAGTCAATACTTTGAACAGTAACTGAGCATTCAACACTAATTTTGACCTACATAAGCTTGAGAAATCGTCATAACAATTCTAACACTGGTATACAAATTGGATTTTTTCTGGCAAAAATTTTATTTTGGTCATACCATAAAAAATGTTATTCTCTGAGTATTATTTATGGCCAACGAAATGCAGGTGGGATTAGGGTTATGAGACTTGTTTATGGTTAGTATCACCAATGTCCTGTATGAAGAAATCACATCGAATGTTTCTAATGTCTTTCACATAGGATGACTAATATTCCATTCTGAATTTATTGTCTGTTGAAATGCATATTCAAGCCATCCGAAATGACATGATTCAGTTGTTCATGTCTGATGTGAAAATGGCCCAACCTTTGAAAAAAGTAACTGAATTCACTAATTCTAAAGGATGCATTATTCATTATTGGATAGAAGAAAATGAACACGAAGGTTATTCCATTCACCTCTGTATGAGTGGTTGAAATCCAGGTGGCTAGAGTGGGAGGGTGAGGAGGATGATGGGTCTCATAACCCATGAACTTATAATCGATTTTTGCATGTCAGGTGACGAGGGTGGGTATGTGGACACAGGGTGGTGTTTGCTCTCATCTCTCTCACCCAAACACGTTTTATCATGGTCCTAGACCCAATGGGCTGAATAAATGAATTGACCCTGAAAAAAGGACTGATATTAATTTTCTCACCCCCAGGCCATTAATATGTCGTTCACATTTGGATAAAAGTTTATGGCTTGGGCCTAATAGAGCATAGGGTGAACATGATAGGACAGATCACCGGCTACCATGGGACTGCATCTCCTTAAGATGTTCCACTGCCTTGTGGACTAGACCTTCAGGTCAAAGGCTCGGGGTGTGGCCTCCTAAGAAAACCACCTGCTTCAATCTGGGACCCCGGGTAGTATGACAACCCTCACACAAATCAAATGAGATTTGTGAGGCGCATATTTATCTGGTGTTTTTGTACCAATATATGTCTTTAAATAAAATAATAATATCCACTATTTCTTATCAACACTAAATGTTCTAAATCTAGTACAATTTCAATTTATTAGTTGGTTCATGGTGGTGTATTTTTCAAACATTTAGGAATCTGAGACAATATACAGAAGTTAAATTTAATATTGCTTAGTTCTTTGAATTTCGTCGCACTTTCGTTTACGTGAAATAGGGTTTAGTGACATTATACAATGAAGTACTGTGAGGCAGTGCTTTTCTATGTTGACTTGTTCATGTACCCGTAAATTACCTGTAGTCGTTTAACAATAATGACAATTAGCTCTATTTATCTGATTAAATAAGAGGAAAAAGTGGTTCAACAAATTTCCAAACACGTTCAGAATAATAACTAGTCATTATTTCAGAAAGATAACCAAAGAACCAAATATTTTATTTCAGAAAAACATGGCTACTTATATCAATGGCAGTCCTAACACACCAATGGGAAGATTCACACGATCAATACAAAAATGAATTAAACTTCATCCCATTGCACAAGCTAGTGGCCATCTGGGCTCAGTTGCTGAGGTGATAACGCGGTGGCGTCTGAAGCCAATGGTGCTGAGTTTGAGCCTAGGAGTGAATACCAACTCTGGGATGCAGGCACATCAAACTGATGAGTCCCAAATGATACGAAACACGCGTCCTGTATTCCACTGCTAACCAACATCCGTTTCTACTTCTAATTTAAAAGAAAGTCATAAATATAATCTTTAAATGATTTATACAATACCAATAGTACAGATAACAATCTCTTTCTTTTGGATTGATCTCTACTTAAATGCTTGAAAATGTGTCAGCAAATATTGAACTTGAAATAACTTTTACTATCTTACAATGCCAATGTTATGTGCTGTAGGCCTATCAATATACAGAGGTAATATACTTGTCAACTTTTGAGCTCAACGAATGGCTAAATAATGATGTATAAAACATAGACTTCATTAATAAAAGTGAATGTAAAAAAAAAAAGAAAATGGAAATCTACAATCCCACTAATTATGATAAAATGTTCATACACTAATTATTACCCTGTAAATAAAGATAGAGGTGAAACATTTAATAAATATAAAACGACCTATTACTTAATGTACATTTCAAAGAAAATAACAATAATTAAAAAGCCCAATATAACAGGAATATGATACGAAGTATAACTTCAGAGACTTGTTACCACGCGTATATAGCATCTGCCCGAGAAGTCCTACTCACTGCCTTCTCGTGGCGTGGGTGTTGTTTACGAAATTGAGAGGACGAGAAGCGAATGTCCGGCGCTTTAACCGGGTTGGTGGATGTGGAGGATCCACCTAGGGGAGTTGGAAAACCCTGATTCCAAACCAATGGTGCACATGGGCTCCAGTATCCTGAAGGAACGAATGGCGTATGAACCAACTATTGGTCACCGGCTACCATGGGACTGCATCACCTTAAGATGTTCCACTGCCTTGTGGACTAGACCTTCAGGTCAAAGGCTCGGGGTGTGGCCTCCTAAGAAAACCACCTGCTTCAATCTGGGACCCCGGGCAGTATCACAACCCTCACACAAATCAAATGATATTTGTCTAGCACATATTTATCTGGTGTTTTTTGTACCAATATTTATGTGTTCAAATAAAGAAATAAATACCATCATTAAATGAAAGGCCTACTACAAACCTTGAGAGTTAAGGCAATATCGAGACAATCCAGACAGGATTTACATATGACAATAAGACACTGGTAAATTACAGTCCTGAACGTCAATGTAAAGATTCAAACAACCAATACAAGAAATGATTTTCTTCTAGACCATTCATTGCTCTCTGAACACGTAGAGTCTCCATTGTGTATTATCTTCGATGGTTAAACTTCCTGCTTAGTTATTCGGAACATTTAGTTCACTTACAGAGCAAAGTTTGAATTTTGTAGATTATATTAACAAAGAATTTACCTCATACATTATCTTCCAACTAATTTTTTATTCGTCAAGCAGGAAGGTGTAGTCATTGACATTAAGCATCATTTCCAGATGCGATTTTCAGATGAATAATCATTTGTTGAATCGGTCACTGGAATTTTAGATAGGTGTTTTGACTTCACTCTTCTTGACTAATGAGCAAGTAATTTTTGGCTGACGCATTATCATGGTTACCGTAGACAGACTTTCTGTTTTATAGTGTTTCACGACAGCATTTAGGTGTGAGTCATTCAATCACAAGTTGTCACACTCGACATCAGCACGATAACAAAATTAACAGCATTCAAGGCAGTGAGTTATCTTAAAATAACTGAATACCGTGCATTTGGAATTCCTGTTGACAATTCTCCTTTGATGTAAGTCCATAGATTTCTGACTAGTAGTAGGACTATTAGTAAAACGAGTATAAAATCAAAAAACAACGAATAAATGTTTTATAAATAGTCTCTTCATCTGATACACTGGCTCTACTTGATAACAAATCAGCTTCAAGGTGAGAACCTTGATACAGCAACAAAGGTTTTATAGATGGTCAACACTGTTTTTGGAATTTCAACGATGTAAATAGCTTTACTAGCAAATTTCGTTATTTTGCTACCATCGGTAAAATAGCAAACCTGTAGAAACATAGGGGACCAAATTGTGTTACGAAGTTTTAACTACTTATAAGTAGCTCGTTTTGTTTTGGTTGTTTGAATCTTCACATTGAAGTTTGGGCCTGCAATTGACCTGTCTCATTGGTACATGTGCATCCTATGCAAATTACCTTCAGTCACAAACAAGCAGAGATGAATAGCGACTAGCAGTGGAATCTAGGATACACATTTCGCCCTGGCTTGTGCAATGGGATGAAGTTTAATTCATTTTTGTATTGATCGTGTGAATCTTCCCATTGGTGTGTTAGGACTGCCATTGATATAAGTAGCCATGTTTTTCTGAAATAAAATATTTGGTTCTTTGGTTATCTTTCTGAAATAATGACTAGTTATTATTCTGAACGTGTTTGGAAATTTGTTGAACCACTTTTTCCTCTTATTTAATCAGATAAATAGAGCTAATTGTCATTATTGTTAAACGACTACAGGTAATTTACGGGTACATGAACAAGTCAACATAGAAAAGCACTGCCTCACAGTACTTCATTGTATAATGTCACTAAACCCTATTTCACGTAAACGAAAGTGCGACGAAATTCAAAGAACTAAGCAATATTAAATTTAACTTCTGTATATTGTCTCAGATTCCTAAATGTTTGAAAAATACACCACCATGAACCAACTAATAAATTGAAATTGTACTAGATTTAGAACATTTAGTGTTGATAAGAAATAGTGGATATTATTATTTTATTTAAAGACATATATTGGTACAACTCCGCCTGTAGCTCTTCTAGAGTTACTGCCGGTCCCAAGCCCGGGTAAAGGAGGAGGGTTGGGCATGGGGTTAGCGACCCCATCCCGTAGAAAAGCTAACTCGCTAAAAAAACGCTAACCAGAAAAAATCATCCAAACCATTTAAACTCTGCCCTGGGAGTTGAAGGAATAATGACGTCTCATGATGAAAGCCAAAATTCTTCGGAAGTCACGAGACCGATGAACATTCTAGCAACCAGAGCAACACTCTTTATAGGTACATGGAACGTCCGGACAATGTGGGAGACAGGAAAAACCAGCCAAGTAGCAATGGAAATGAGAAGATACAACTTGGCAGTACTCGGAATCAGCGAAACCCATTGGACACAAACTAGACAACAAAGGCTAGGTACAGGAGAGATGCTGCTGTACTCCGGTCACGAAGGGGAAAATGCTCCACACACTCAGGGAGTTGCTCTAATGCTGTCCATAGAAGCACGAAATGCACTTGTGGGATGGGAATCTCATGGACCCAGGATAATCAAAGCATCATTCAGAACAAAGAAGCAAGGGATCACAATGAACGTTATCCAATGTTATGCACCCACCAATGATAGCAACGACGATGATAAAGATCAGTTCTATGAAAGGCTGCAATCAATTATAGCAAAGTGCTCACGAAAGGACCTCACCATCCTGATGGGAGATCTAAATGCTAAAGTTGGAGTGGACAACACAGGATATGAAGATATAATTGGACGACATGGATTAGGAGAAAGAAACGAAAATGGCGAGAGACTTGCAAACCTATGTGCATTCAACAAATTGGTTATAGGCGGCACAATATTCCCACACAAGCGCATACACAAAGCTACATGGATCTCACCGGACCACACCACAGAGAACCAGATTGATCACATCTGTATCAACAAAAAATTCCAAAGATCAATGGAAGATGTGAGAACCCGGAGAGGAGCTGACATAGCTTCAGATCACCACCTGGTTGTGGCCAAGATGAGACTGAAGCTAAAGAAACACTGGACAACTGGACAAACAGCACTACAAAGGTTTAATACAGCCTTCCTTCGAGATACTGACAAGCTCAATGAATTCAAGATAACTCTCAACAACAGGTTCCAAGCTCTACAGGATCTACTGGAAGAACAAGAAACTACTTTGGTGGACAACTGGAAAGGGATAAAAGAGGCGTTAACTTCAACGTGTCAGGAGGTTCTTGGTCCTAAGAAGCATCATCATAAGGAATGGATCTCTCTGGGAACCCTCAACAAGATTCAAGAAAGGAAGAACAAGAAACTAGCAATTAACAACAGCCGAACACGAGCAGAGAAAGTCAAAGCACAAGCAGACTATGCAGAAGCAAACAGGGAAGTGAAGAAAAGCATTCAAGCCGACAAGCAGAAATACATGGGAGAACTAGCAACGGCGGCGGAAAAAGCTGCAAGAGAAGGGAATATGAAACAACTATATGATACAACAAAGAAATTGGCAGGGAGATATAGCAAACCAGAGAGACCAGTCAAAGACAAAGAAGGAAAGACAATCACTGAGATTCAAGAACAGAGGAAAAGATGGGCAGAATACTTCGAGGAACTGCTGAATAGACCAGCCCCGTTGAATCCACCGAACATCGAAGCAGCCCACACAGACCTTCCAATAGATGTTACTCCACCAACGATCGAAGAAGTCAAGATGGCCATCAGACAAATCAAAAGTGGGAAGGCGGCAGGACCTGACAATATACCAGCATAAGCACTGAAGTCAGACATTGAAATAACTGCAAATATGCTTCACCTTCTATTCAAGAAGATTTGGGAAAAGGAACAAGTGCCAACGGACTGGAAAGAAGGATATCTCATCAAGATACCAAAGAAAGGAGATCTGAGCCAATGTGAGAACTACAGAGGTATCAGTTTGTTATCAGTACCAGGAAAAGTTTTCAACAGAGTGCTGCTGAATCGGATGAAAGACGCAGTAGACGCTGAACTTAGGGATCATCAGGCTGGATTCCGTAAGGATCGGTCGTGCACAGACCAGATTGCGACACTACGGATCATCGTTGAACAATTAGTTGAGTGGAACTCATCACTATACGTCAACTTTATTGACTATGAGAAGGCGTTTGACAGCGTGGATAGGAGAACATTATGGAAACTTCTTCGACACTATGGAGTTCCTGAAAAGATTGTCAACATTATCCAAAACTCATACGATGGACTACAGTGCAAAGTGGTGCATGGAGGACAGCTGACAGATGCATTTCCAGTAAGGACCGGAGTCAGACAAGGCTGTCTACTCTCCCCATTCCTCTTCCTTCTAGTGATTGACTGGATTATGAAGAATTCGACATCTGAAGGGAAATACGGAATACAATGGACTTCTCAGAATCAATTAGATGATTTGGACTTCGCAGATGACCTAGCCCTCCTCTCTCATACACACGACCAAATGTAGCAGCAGCCTCCGCATCGATAGGCCTCCACATTCACAAAGGAAAAAGCAAGATTCTCAAATGCAACACGGAGAACACCAACCCAATCACACTTGATGGCGAAACTCTGGAAGAGGTGGAAACATTCACGTATCTGGGGAGCATCGTTGATAAACAAGGGGGATCGGATGCAGATGTAAAGGCGAGGATTGGCAAAGCAAGGGCAGCATTTCTACAATTGAAGAACATATGGAACTAAAAACAACTCTCAACCAATTTCAAGGTCAGAATCTTTAATACGAACGTCAAGACAGTCCTACTGTATGAAGCTGAAACGTGGAGAACTACTATGACCATCATCAGGAAGGTACAAGTATTTATAAACAGTTGTCTACGCAAAATACTCAACATCCACTGGCCGGATACTATCAGCAACAGCGTTTTATGGGAGAGGACAAATCAGCTTCCAGCTGAAGAGGAAATTAGGAAAAGACGTTGGAAGTGGATCGGACATACACTAAGGAAATCACCAATGTGCATCACGACTCAATCCCTAACTTGGAATCCGGAAGACCAAAGAACACACTACGCCGGGAAATAGAAGCCGATATGAAAAGGTTGAATAGCAACTGAAAAGAACTGGAAAGGAAGGCCCAGGACAGAGTTGGATGGAGAATGCTGGTGAGCGGCCTATGCTCCTCCACAAGGGGTAACAGGTGTAAGTAAGTAAGTAAAGTAATTGGTACAAAAAACACCAGATAAATATGCGCCTCACAAATCTCATTTGATTTGTGTGAGGGTTGTGATACTGCCCGGGGTCCCAGATTGAAGCAGGTGGTTTTCTTAGGAGGCCACACCCCAAGCCTTTGACCTGAAGGTCTAGTCCACAAGGCAGTGGAACATCTTAAGGAGATGCAGTCCCATGGTAGCCGGTGACCAATAGTTGGTTCATACGCCATTCGTTCCTTCAGGATACTGGAGCCCATGTGCACTATTGGTTTGGAATCAGGGTTTTCCAACTCCCCTAGGTGGATCCTCCACATCCACCAACCCGGTTAAAGCGCCGGACATTCGCTTTTCGTCCTCTCACTTTCGTAAACAACACCCACGCCACGAGAAGGCAGTGAGTAGAACTTCCCTGGCAGAGGCTATATGTTCGCGTGGCCATGTGAGAGAATTTCGAGAGGGAGAGCGGAGTCTCACCACTCTTGGCCGTACCAGGGCATTTGGGGGCATATTGGATATCAGTTAATCCAAGTTATAGGAAAATGCAAAGAGTAAATCTGTTAACTTGTGGCCTTTTATTAGGATTGATATTTCAATTCTTTAATAACTGATATCGTCAGTCAGTCAGCTACAACGTAGGACCAGGCACATATATGCATCGGTCCAAGTTGCCATACCTCGTAAGCGCAACAAGATGAACTCCGGATTCATAGTAGTCAAGTTAGTGGTGGTAGTGTATAAAAGATATGTTGTATATAAGGATATAGTATAGGAAAGAAGTTATGAAGCAATTTTAATCTCAAGGTTTAAGGGGAGATAAAGAGTGTAATACACCTACGCCATTGCGATCGATTCTGAGCCATGTTGCCCAGAGTCTCCAACCATTGGTTACGATAGTCACGTAGACCCCAACCAAGTAGTCTGCATCTGCCAACATGGCTCAGACTAGAAGTTAGTAACTCCATGCTCTGATGCCACGTTTTGGTTTGGCAGCCCCTAACTATCTTCCAACCATCCCCAATACTAGTCAGGATAGCGCGTCGTGGTAATCAGTGTTCATGCATACGTAACACGTCAATAACTGATATATGTATATCATATGGAGTTCAGCCAGGAGTGCTTTAGCGACCATTCAAATTCTAGCAACTGGTTTTCTCATCCTGATTTGAATGATGTCGTATGTTAAGTTGTGGTAACTAGATAGCGTAATCTGAGTCTGCATAATTAGTATTATAAGCTTGCTTAAGTTATGGGAGTAGTACGTTCAGAGATTTTCTTATTAGTAGCAGTTTCAAATTGAATAAGCGATGTAAGAATTAATTTATTGTAGATCATTTTAAAATTTCACTCGTGGATTTTTACGAATAAATATAATTTTATTTGCCTTCCTTATGAATCACTACAGATTTTTGCCCAATACCTTCGAAGAATCATACTGCATTGGTTCCCCGATGCACCTAACGCACACATTAGTCAACGAGTGGGACAACTATGGAGAAAACTAGATTTAAAAATGCGTGATAAATACATGGATGAAGCTTTTCGTTTGCAACAATTACATGCCATAGAATTTCCTGACTATAAGTATAAACCTAAAAAGCGTGCACGTAATGTAAATAGCGATGACAACAAAATTGAAGCTGATGAACGTGTTCCCAAGTCAGAAATTGTCATACCAATTATATCAAAATCGATGACATCTAATAATAACAATAATTCCAAAATGCATCATGAGAATGTTACATTTCCCGTTGATCAGAATTTTTCCACTAGCTTAAACAATCAAAATTCTGACGAAAAACATCCTCAAAACCAAACGCCGATGATAATTGGACAAAACCAAAGCTCTACTGCTAACTCCATCACTTGCTGCAGAAATTACTTACAATCAAATTCACAGGTAAACAATAAGTTGAATATGGAATTATACCAACCAGTAAAAGTAGATTATAATTATTCCAATACAACACGTGTTGGCAATCCATATGACAAAAGAGTGTTTATATCACCTGCTATAAATGACAACTATATTTCTAAGGAAAATGAAGAAGTCGACGAAAAAATGACATTATTAGTTTCTGATAGCGGGGACATCGAACATGTAACTTGTCAGTTGCATAAAATCATACCATGTCAAACTATTGACGGAATAACTGAATTCCTGATATTACCATCGTCACTAAGCCAGGAAAATCAAATTAAGGAAATTCGAATCCTGAATATGCACTCGCCGACTGTTCAGCAACTTGCAAATGAACAGCCAATCATATATCATACTTTCCTGTGTGAACCTCTCAAGGCGACTGTTATTAGACAATCTACAGTAATCCCAATTAAAACAAATTCCTCAATGTTAAATGGCATGCTATTGGATACTAATATGACTAATTTAAGTTTTCAGCCATTTGTTACACAAACAACTGGCAGCACTACATCATACTTATATCCGAATTCCTATAAAATTGGATTTAATCATGATAAAGTAAATCCTTTGTCAGAAATCAGTCTAGGAAATATTCAATCTCAATATGGCAACTTGCCAAGCACCTGTAACCATAATTTAAGCTATCCAAGAGAAAAACTGAGTACAAAATATGTTAGAAAGGACAGTCAGTCGTTAAATTTTAAACAGGGTATTGGTGATAAAAGGAAGTCTGCTGCTACGGATTTATATGGTGGTGATGAAAAATTCCTGGGTATGTTATCCAGTCGTCATACAAATACGTCCCTATTCGTGGAGAGCCTCAAGTCAAAGTGTGAAAACGACAATGTTGACACAGCACTCAGTTTTAATGATATTGAAACATGCAAGTCAGGAACTTCTCTTGACGAACTTGAACAGATCACTTTGTTTTCTTGTGATAGTAATAACGAATTCTTACAGACTATAGACCCTTTGAATCTACCGACTGAGAACTCCCCATTGGCTTTACAGTCTGCAAGTATAAACAACTGCCAGCAAACAAAACTACCGCCTAAAGACTCAGCCTTACGTACAGATACCTTCACGCACCCTAACGGCTTGCCAAGTATTGAATCATGGACATTTGGAGCATCAAAGTCTTTCCAACCAAGTTGAAATATTTATTTTGGCTTTTCTTATAGAACTCGTATTGTTTTTGATAAAATACGTATATCCTACTTTTAAAATTGATTTTCGGAGACAATTTTCCTTTTAATACAAATGAAAATGAAGACGAATATGAAAATACTTTCTCAATTATTTTCCACTTTATAGTTATTTTTGAATGAAATGAGACCCACTTTGCTTTATTTTCCTTATATGATTAACTTTTAGTAAATTATTGACTGATAATTTCGAATATTTATTGCCATCTGCCAATTGGTAGACAGACGGAACATAATATGCTGTTTATAATATAAGTTCTTATTTTATGAGAACGACTGTTGATTTACTGATACGGAAATGTTTGATCTTACTTCAGAAGTTCAGGCGATCACAATCCTGATTAGAATATCAAGGTATAGAAGTGGATTATTATTAAATCATGAGTAGTAGTTTTACAAAGGTACTTAGTATAAGTCAACTTGGTGCTATGGAAATAGAATTTTCAAGCCACTACTCTGACAATATATTCAGTCAAGTCCAGTTGCGAAAATCTGCTGGGTAGTTCAAGAGTTACAAAATTTATGGAATGGTCTTTGTGGTAAGCAAGATGGTTTGCCGAACTATATTATAGTTCAAATGAAGTCAAAGTGAGTTTCTTAGATTAGGAAACGATGTACACCAGTTAGTAATGTGATTGCTTTATTAGAATAACAAGAGCATGGCTTACATCAGAGCTTCAATGCTGATTGGCCATATTTAAAACTGTCACATTAGACGTGAATTGTTCGCTTGGTGCTAATACTTTTGTCAAATGAGTCATATAACTTTCGGCAGAACTAATTTGCATGCTCGTAGTATACAACAAAAGAATTATGGGCTCTGGAATGTACGTCCTTCATGCGTCTAACGGTTCGCTGTGTTGGTCTGTTTACCCTTCCAATCTTTCGTGTTTGAAGTTCAGTATTCCCCAAACATTCATTACACAGCCTGGCAAAAAGGGTCTCGAGTGTCTGAATTATAAAGGATTGGAAAGCGAATCGTAATCAGACCAATTATCCAGGACGGATTCATGATCCCCATACCGAATTATCAAATTGATATGATTATACTTAGATAAACGGCCCAAAAATTGACAGGCTTCGGTATACGAAGAAAGGTGAGAACTATCACCCTTATTACCACAGTTACAAACATTTAGATCTATGAACTGTTCAACTGTCGACCCTAATACATGGGGTAGTACTAGATTATCAAAATAGTTATGTAATAGGCACTTCACTACAGAAGGCAACATTTTTAAGATTTTTCCCCATCACTACAAAACAAATAGTAAAAACATTCTTCTACCAAAATTAGTTGATTATTAGAAAAGAAACTAATGAACAGAAGTTTAGTGAAAACATCCAATATCTATTTCTGTGTAGAAGTGCTACTTTTAATCTGATTACAGCAAACAGCTGCTACAGTTCCAATCATCATTCCTACTATTGCTGTTTGCATTGGCCCAAATGCGTTGGCGAAACCTGCTATCCCGCCGCATCCCAAACCGATATAACTGAAACGATCTACACGAAGCTTAATTTTTAAAAAAATTATAAAACCAAAGAAATTACAAGAATCACTGAGTAATTATATGGATTTGTAGGTATCAATGCCAAGACTGGACTTGATAGTTTCAAATAAATTGAGCATTCGGTTGAAAGTTAACAATAAATATATTTTTGTGATATCCCAATTAGTAGGAAATTGTATTAACGACATTTCGAGACCTATTGCATATTATTTATTTACTTTGAAGAAGTGACTTATATTAGGTCACGAAACGTCATTAATACAATTTTTTACTAACTGGGATATCACAAAAATATATTCGTTACTATTCATATGGATGCCTAGAAAATATGTTGTAAGACGACCCATGTTCTTGAAGTGAGGGATACTAGAAACACACAATTGGCTATCTTTCCTGGGAAAACCAAAAATTTGGTTTTGAATGTTATTTAGGTTCCACTTACTGATATCCCGACAGAAAACATTCATTCTAAGTGTTAATTGTAGTAGCATTTTACCTGTAAACACGATTGTATTGAAGAATTCGCTGTGCAGTTAACAAGAATCAAATCTCTAGACCGTATAGACTTTGCCCTGTTTTAGCAAATATTTTCCTCATAAAGTTTGTCTCCTATATAAATTTGAACAAATTAAGAACAACGAAATTTGTAGGATGGAACTAATCCATCCAATGTTGAGGCTACTCATAAACTGCAAACAGCCTAAGGTAACACCGAGTCATGTGATAAAAAAAGTGTGATATACTTTAGTGGGCGAAGTTGCGATGGGCGTTCAAAATGGGACTGAATTACAATCAGAGGGAAAGGACAAATATGCCACTCACGCCTGTTACCCCTCATGGAGGAACATAGGTCGCTCACCAGCATTTTCATCCAGCTCCATTCTGGACAATCCTTCTCAGTTGCTGTTTATCCTACTCATGTCTGCTTCCGATTCTCAGCACAGTGTGTTCTTTGACCTTCCTCTTTTCCGTTTTTCTTCAGGATCTCAAGTGAGCGCTTGCTTCCTGATGCAGTTTGGTGATTTCCTCATTGTGTCCTATCCACTTCCAGCGTCTTTTCCTAAATTTCTTCTCAGCTGGATGCTGCTTTGTTCTCTTCTATAGTAGGCTGTTGCTAATGGTATCCGGTCAACGGACTTTTAGTATTTTGCAGACAGTTGTTTATAAATACTTGTACCTTTTTGATGATGGTTGTGGTAGTTCTCCAACTTTCAGCTCTCTACAGTATAACTATCTTGACGTTCGTATTGAAGATTCTGACTTTAATATTGATTGACGGTTATTTTGAGCTCCATATGTTCTCCAACTATATGAATGCCGTCATTGCTTTGCCAGTCCTCCTCTTTACACCTGCATCAAATCCTCCACGTTCATTGATGATGCTACCCAGATACGTGAATGCTTCCACGTCTTCCAGAGTTTCTGCAAAATATAGCACTAGACGTTTGAAAATGATACGCATCTTTTATATTTTGAAATGAAGCAGAAACATTAGTCTTGAAAAGTGGGTGATAGTTACTAGTCATTATGAAAGTACGCGATCACAATAAGATGATGGCGACCGCAGGTGATTACATCGCGAGACGCAGGGTCAAATTAGTGTATGAACACAAATAGGTTTATATCTCTTATAACAAACAGAGATTTATCACCTTTTTCTTCTGTACAAATAGGTCAGGTTGGAAGCATTCGATTAGTCTCAGAAAAAGGGATAAAATCGACGTCCGATATTCGTCAGTTATTTCGAATGCTTTAAAAGTATTCACGGACTAACAATGTATCTAGTATCTATTAAATACTTGAAAATTGCATTTACGAAGAAAATTTAACTCCCAAATATGGATTTCTGGTGTTTACTGAGTTAGCTCGCTTTGATTCTGGAAACCTGGAAGGGAAGTGACAAGTTTCCAACTTTGTTGGTCCGGGAGCGCGACTGGAAAGCTAGAGGTTTTAAGTAACCATTACATGCTTGTTACCGTAATAAGAGGTCTTGCTCCCCGAATTTCAGGCAGGTGAAGTGTGCCATCTAATGGACCCTCACATTTATCGTAATGAGATACTAGTTATTCGTGAGAAACACCTTACTGCGATCACTACAGCTGTAGGTATAAATTTAGACTTCGAATTTCCTTCGTTTGGTTTGACCTCATCTTATTGAAAAGTTGTTTATAAACTTCCGAACAGAATCTGTTAGTGATCTTCATTTAATTTTCATTGTTATAACAAAATCCATTTGGATTCATTTATTTCCTATAAATACTAGGGGAAAATACTCAGCTGATACTCGCTTTATATACATACTTGTGAATACATTCTATATTTTCACTTCACGAGTGATGTTTTCAAGAATTTTATAACTTCCTGAAACTCGATTAAGATGCTGACGGAACAGACTAGTTGGTTACTGTACTTGTGTAAACCCCTTATTCAAGTCTGAAGTAGATAATAGTTTTTCCTGGTAGCTCCTTTAAGCTGAGTTTTCAGTTAGTAAAGGTTTTACGACACGAAATATGTGTTCTTGTGGTAACCCTATTAAATGAACTGCTTGAAACGCATCTGGTATGCTAATTTACGTATGTTGAGATACCAAATCTCCATATTTTGGGGAAAATGGAGGACTTTGAGTAAATCTTAGGGTTTTCCCCAAAGTTGTGATAAGTTTGGTAGTTTTCCCCAAAAAGTTTAGTGAAAAAAACAAAGTGTTATAAGATCCTGAGGAAATATTAGAAGAAACCTAAACACTGAGGATTTTCCCCAGACCTGAGGGGATTTCGGGGTTTTTGTGTCATCCCCTCAAAGTTTTATATTACGGCTTCCTCAAAATTTACCCAGAATGGACAAAAGTCTCCCCAAAATAGGGAGATCGGGTAAGTTTAGTTCACCTACAGTTCCTGAATATGCATGATCATGAACCCTTATAGAAATGAATGACTATTCGATAGTAGAATTTAGACGAATAAAGTTGGCTATTCGAAGGATATGACCTATATTAGCATACTAGCTATACCTGGTTTTTGTTGCATCGTAGCCGATAGCACCTGTCGTAAAATGCTTCGTCCGGTTGACCTTTCATTCGAACATACATTAGTATTGGGGCAATGGTGAGTCCGGGTAGGAATCCATATGTGGCGAATTTAACCGATCTTCTGGTTAAACACCTTAAAGTTCTAGGTTCTAAAGTTGAAAATGAATTCTAAAATTGCGGAAACAAACTTGATAGCAAGGTAATCATCGGGGCACATATGATGGCTCCGAAAAGACATGAAGTTTGAACCGTTCTGAGAGCGATATGCGTCAGCAGTTCAATCTTTAAGTGTGGGATACTTTGGAGTTCTTCCTCGCTTAAATGCACACCAAAAACATTTTTTAACCATAATGATCCTGTAGCTGTAAATAATTCCCCAAAATCAATAGCTCATTAAGTGTTCGACATTGGATGCTGACCACGTTGTTTAAGTGGACTTATTTAGCTGAAGGCTTTCGGTCATGCATCCGCACCAGATCACGTTTCAATACTGCGTGGGACACAGCTCCTACGTTTCATTAGCCAGCTCATAGAAAAGGTCCTCGATATATTGGTAACGAATCAAATATATCTTTCCTGCCTCTTCTCGTTTCACTTCTGATTTCTATCTGACTGGAAACAACCGAATTTAGAAGGTGCTACTGGTATCTAGTTGTAAAACTAGAATATCCGTTGCATCATCATTGGTGAACCCGACGTGATCTGGTACACCAAGTCAATATACTGTGAGTCTGTTCCATTTTGGAATATTATTATTTATTGTTATTCTTTATTTGAATTTTATATATTGTGATATACCTTTTTTTTTCTCGGATATATTTTACTTAGACATTTTTCGATATCTATATTACTATGACGGAACACTCTCCTAAGGTTCTTAAGTTCAAGTCTATTCCCCCTATTTCGATTCAGTTAACGCCATTTTGGCCCGACAATATCGAGTCCTGGTTCTGCTACGCAGAAGCCGATTTTTGCATGCACGGAATCACGGACTCGCGCACACGTTTCCTCGCGGTAGTTAAGGCGTTACCGCGCGAGTTTAACAGGTACGTAACACCTAGTATGTTTACTAGTGATGTTTCCGAACCTTACGAATCGCTTAAGCTATCGATTTTAAAACGAGGAGACCTAACTGATCGACAACGGTTAGACCAACTCCTTAACAATATCGACTTGCAACATGGTTCTGCGACGGACATGTTGCTTAGAATGAGAGAAGTCATCGGCCAACGAACTTTCGATGATGGCCTATTTAGACAACTTTTCTTGTCTAAACTCCCTCAACAGGTGCAGGCAGTGCTTGTTTCATTTCAAAACAATGCCATAGATGAACTAGCTGCATCTGCCGATCGAATCTTGGAAATCACTAGATCTTCTAAGGCCGAGGTTTTTTCCGTCAAAGAAAAACCCCAATCGACCTCGACTGACATGGCCGAACTATGTCACACGCTTACACGATATCTTAGAGTTCGCAATGACCGTAGTCGGTCAAAAACCCCGCGTAGAAGTGCCTCACGTAAGCGATCTGGCTCTCGACCACGAGAGACAGACAATCCCGACTGGTGCTGGTATCATAACCAGTACGGTAAGTTTTCCAGAAACTGCAGGAAACCTTGTAATTATCCGACCCCAAAATCGAGTGACACGAAAAACAGTTCGGGAAACTTCCCAGCCGGCACGCGTTAACGGCAACCGTAGCCGGCGAACACAGCCACCTCTTATATGTCACGGATGTGACTACGAAAGTTCGCTACCTCGTCGACACTGGCGCAGAAGTTAGCGTTCTTCCAGCAAATCTCGACGACAGACTTCGCGAGTCTGTTTTAAGTTTACAGGCGGCAAACGGAAAACCGATCGCTACTTACGGTAAAAGGTACGTCTACCTTAACGTGGGTTTACGTAAACCCATACACTGGATTTTCGTGGTTGCAGATGTCTCTATGCCAATCATTGGTATTGACCTGTTACAACACCACAATCTACTCATCGACACACGCGCACGAAGGTTAATAGACGGAAACACTAAGTTGTCCGTTTGCGTAACTCCTTGTTCTGGTTGCAGGTTATCCCCAGTCACGATTAAGCACGCCATAGACCCCTTGTACCAAGCAGTACTCGACAAATACCCCGGGATATACCAATCGCAATCGAAATTACCTTGTGTAACCAGCAATGTTACACATCACATCTCGACTACAGGACCACCTGTATTTTCGAAAGCCCGAAGACTCGCTCCCGAAAAACTTAGGTTGGCTAAAAACGAATTCAACCACATGATGGACCTAGGAATAATTCGACCATCGAATAGTCCATGGGCATCCCCATTGCACATGGTCCCTAAAAAGGACAGCAATGATTGGCGGCCAACTGGTGATTATCGGCGTCTGAATGCTAAAACCATTCCCGATCGTTACCCGCTGCCTCATATTCACGATTTGACAGCTACCTTGAAAGGTACAACTGTCTTTTCGAAAATCGACTTGGTTAAAGCTTATAACCAAATCCCGATGGCAACTGACGACATTCCTAAAACCGCCATCATCACTCCCTTCGGTCTTTACGAATTTCTACGAATGCCTTTTGGTTTAAGAAACGCGGCTCAATCCTTCCAAAGGTTTATAGACGACGTCTTCCGAGGTTTCAACTTCGTACATGCGTATGTTGATGACTGTCTAATAGCAAGTCCGGACAGAGAATCGCATCTCAAGCATCTGGACATTGTTTTCGATCGACTTCAAAGGCATGGCATTACTGTCAACATTCAGAAATGCCAAATCGGAACTAACTGCTTAGACTTCTTAGGACACACCATTGATGCCCAAGGCATCCGACCCCTTAGGAGCAAAGTGGTGGCCATTCTGGATTACCCAGAACCGACCACGATCAAGCAGTTGCGAACTTTTAACGGACTCGTAAGTTTCTATAGACGGTTCATACCTAAATGCGCATCCCTAATGAAACCGTTGACCGATCAGCTTCGTGGAAATGCGAAATCAATTAGTTTAGACGACACAGCCCGTAAAGCATTTTCCACAGTTAAGGAACACATCGCTAAAGCAACCTTGCTTGCTCATCAGGACAGTCAAGCGCCCATTAGTATCGCCGTAGACGCATCCGACTCAGCAATCGGAGCAGTCTTACAACAATGGGTTAACAACTCGTGGCAACCTTTAGGATTTTTATCGAGACGGTTGCTAGACGCTGAATCTAGGTACAGCACGTTCGGTAGGGAACTCCTAGCTATGTATTGTGCTGTACGGCATTTTCAACATTCCATCGAAGGAAGAGAATTCACGCTCTTTACCGATCACAAACCTCTTACCTTCTCTTTAGGTTCATCTTCAGACAAGTACTCACCGCGAGAGTCTCGACAACTCGACTACATTTCGCAGTTTACTTCAGACATACAACATATTTCTGGAGCAAACAATGTAGTCGCAGACGCCTTGTCTCGAATTAGCTCCTTGAACAGTTTCCAAGGAATCGACCTTCTTATACTCGCTCAGCTTCAAAAAGAAGACGTTGATCTTCAGCATGAGTTATCCTCGACAACTCTTAAACTAAGTATTAGGCAGATGGGAACAGGTAAGGAAACCTTACTCTGTGACACATCTACAGGTAGGGATCGTCCAATTGTACCAAAACACTATCGCCGCAACGTCTTCAATACGTTGCACAATCTTTCTCATCCAGGTGTTCGTGCAACAATCGAACTTATAGCCGAACGCTTTTGTTGGCCTGGCATGAATAAAGACGTGAGGGAGTGGTCACGCTCCTGTGTAAGCTGTCAGAAATCTAAGGTCATAAGACACAACAAATGTCCCTTAGGTTCTTTCAAAACCCCTGACGCTCGTTTCGACCACGTCCATCTAGATTTGGTAGGACCCTTACCCGACTCGAACGGATACTCATATCTCCTAACATGCGTAGACCGTTTTACTCGATGGCCAGAAGCAGTACCGATTAAGGACATTACTGCTGAAACAGTGGCTCGCACTTTCGTCGAACGATGGGTAGCAAATTTCGGCTGCCCTTCAACCATCACTACAGACCGCGGACGCCAGTTCGAATCTGGACTTTTCCGTTGTCTGACCACACTTTTAGGAATCACGCGCTTCCGAACGACCGCCTACCACCCACAAGCAAACGGGTTGGTAGAACGTTTTCATCGACAATTAAAAGCTTCATTATCAGCTTCAAACGTTTCACAGTGGACAGACGCTCTTCCACTCGTCTTGCTAGGTATCCGCAATGCAGTGAAAGCTGACATTGGATACACGGCATCTCAACTCGTTTACGGAACGACACTCCGACTCCCAGGAGAATTCGTGGATCCTTCAGCTTCTTCATTGAACATGGAGCTAAACTCTTACACGAGTAGGCTTACAAACGCTATGCGTTCAGTTAAACCTGCTCACACTCGACCTCAATCAACTGATGTTTTCGTTCAACCCGAATTACGACATAGTACACACGTCTTCGTTCGTCGAGACTCACATCGACGACCCCTCGAATCAGCATACGAAGGACCCTTCAAAGTTCTTCAACGCGAACCTAAGTACTATGTAGTTGATAAGAACGGTACGAAAGATAGCATCAGTATCGATCGACTCAAAGCTGCGTACCTAGAAGGAAACCCTAGCTACGTCGATTTTCCTTCGGTACAAGCAAACGACACAGCTACTACACTCGTAGTACCCTACACGACAACCGACACACAACTTGATACTTCGTCAACGTCGATAGAAAAACCTAAAACAACGCGTTCTGGAAGACGAGTAAGATTTCCAGAACATCTTAACGAATATTGCACGTAGGACATAAGCTTTATCTGGAATTACCCTTTCAACGTTTATTATAAATTTTTTTTAATATGCTCATTTTTTATTTATGTAAAAAAACAACAAAAAAAAACATTTTTTTTTGAACGTATATATATATATATTTATATATTAAAAAAAAACAAACTCAAAAGAAAACCTTTTTTCCGATCGCTTTTACGCTGTTTGTAAGTGTATCAGTTTATTTTTTTCCGCTCATCTTGTGTCCTTACGCAAGTACGAGTGTATTTTTGACATGCACTCACACGTTTTATTTTTCCTCTTTTCCAGGACGGCTGGAAAAGAACGACGAAGTTTCGCAAGGAACAGAAATTTTCATTGTACTATATTTCTTTATTTGCTACGTTGTACATTTTGGTCCCATAGTTTAAGGAAAGACGACCAGACGCTGCTAAACGAAGCAAGCTATCAGAAGAGTGTTTACCAACGACAAATTCGTTGGGTTTAAACTTCTGGCTGGTCACGTCTTAGGGGCATCACTACCTCACTAGGGGGGGAGTGA